TTGTGTTTTGACTCATTCTGATACATTTTGCCACTTGTATATATTATATATAAGATGTATTTGGCCATGGACTGTCATTTTGCATCTCGTTACTCTCTCTCTTTGTTGTGTGTGTGTGTGTGTGTGTGTGTGTTTTACAGCTTTCATGCTGTTCTTTTTGTTTTCCATAGTACAATGAGCAGAATGATGTAAAAGTGACCATGAAGCTCACTCTGAGTTGTCTAGCCAGGGCCTGTGGCATATTTAACACTTCCCTTGTCTCTCCAAACCTAGAGGGGCTGCACCCCAAGCCAGGCGTCTGCCTCTTCCTCTGCTGACAAGGTTGCTCTCACCCTTTTCCTACTGGAATGGAGAGCAGTGACAGTGAGGTGGGATCCCTTTAAACCCACAGATCGTCCAGCAGCCGTGCCAGGCCCTGGCTTGCCTCTTAAAGGGATGATGGCAGCATCAGGGATCTGGGCCTTCTCTTGATGACCCCATAATTTCCCCTTTCTTAACCTATACCATGTGATGTTGTGGAATTCATCCTGAACACCTCCTTATCATTTCTTCCACTCCCCATTACTCTTGGATAATTTGGAATACATGCAGTTTTGATTTTAGTGTTTCTGATTTTTAAACCAAAAATTTATTAAGTGAAGTAGCTTAATTAGAAAAAAAGAAATACACCTGAGAGGATTTTCTTTGTCCATGACACATCCTAGTCATTGGGGTGTCGATACATTTAAGATATCTTTTAATGATGAAATATCCTTGAGGGAGAGAGGTGGGAAGAATTGGTGACTCTTATTATCTTTGAACTATGAGACAAACATTGCTTAGGAGTTTTGTTAAAAACATTACAGGCCATTAGAGAATGTGGAATAGGTCTTGCTTACCATCTTCAAACATATATCTATATTTAACTTCTTTATCATTTTTGTTTGTTGTTGTTTGTCTTGCTCCATCAGAATGTAAGCCCCATAAAGGCAGGGATCTTTGTGTTTTTCCTGATATATCTCAAGCACCTAGAATAGTTGCCTGGCACATAGTAGCTACTCAATAAATATTTGCTTAGTGAATTGGGACTGGCCTGGTGGTGTAGTGCTTAAGTTTGCAGGCCCAGCTTTGGCGGCCCGGGGTTTGTGGGTTTGGATCCTGCGTGTGGACCTACACAATGTTATCAAGCCATGCTGTGGCAGCATCCCACATACAAAATAGGGGAAGATTGGCACAGATGTTAGTTCAGGGACAATCTTCCTCAAGCAAAAAGAGGAAGATTGGAAACAAATGTTGGCTCAAGGCCAATCTTCCTCACACCCCAAAAAAAGTTGCTTAGTGAATAAATGAATGAATGATCTCAATCGTTAAGGAAATGAAAGATGACAGGCACGCCTCTCCATCTTCCCCATTTAATGTGTTTAAATAAGATGCCTCTCTCTGGCTTTTGATACTTGACTCTCTATGTCTACTATATTCATAGTTCTTGATTCCTAAAAAGGGGAAAATTCTTCTTTTATCCTGAAATTGTTTTCAGATAACAATCATTGCTTTCAAAAATGACAAAATAGCTTTAAAAAAGGGTCAGTGTTTTATAACAGTGCTTTATCCACCTTCTGAGTTATAATTAACATTTTGTGTTTTCCATTAGTGTTTTTGGAGTCCAGAATGTTAACTGACAGTGATATTTTTCTTTTCACCTACAGCACAGCCAAGTACAGCTTGTGGTCATTTCTCCCTCGATATTTGTATCTGCAGTTTAGCAAAGCTGCCAATGCTTTCTTCCTGTTCATTACTATTTTGCAGATAACATTTCTGAACATATTATTAGATGAAGATTTTTTAAAGGTAAAAAATATATATATAAAAAGCTCATTTAGCTGAAATAAGAGTTTGATGTAGAGAATAAATTTAAACACTGTAAGAAAAGAACTCTCTTCTTACAATAGTTAAATTATGTAGTGAGACACTGAAACTCCGTTTTTGGGCTGAAAAGCATGTTGATACACAATAAAGTAGGTCCACAGTTCATCCTGATTTAGGTCGTTAATGAGATATTACTGGAGTGACTTTGTCGTTTATGTCACCTCCATGATAGGATAATTTTATTATATTTTGAAAGAAATAATTTGAAGAAAATTCAAATGCTGGTTTCTGTGACTTCTGTGACTGGCTTATTTCACTCAGCATAATGTCCTCAAGGTTCATCCGTGTTGTTGGTATGTATATGTATATATATATCACATTTTCTTTATCCATTTAACCATCGATGGACATTTGGGTTGTTTTCATGTCTTGGCCATTGTGAATAATGCTGCCCTGAACATGGGAGTGGAGATATCTCTTTAAGATCCTGATTTCAATTCTTTAATTTAAATTTTTTCAGGAACCTCCATACTGTTTTCAGTTGTAGCTGCACCATTTTACATTACACCAATAGTGTACAAGGGTTCCAATTTGTCCACGTCCTTGCCAATATTTGTTTTATATATTTCTTTGTAATAGCCGTCTAAGAGGTGTGAAGCGATAACTCATTGTGGTTTTGATTTGCATTTCTCTAAGGATTAGTGACATTGAGCACTTTTTCATATACCTGTTGGCCATTTGTATGTCTTCTTTGGAGAAATGTTTATTCAAATCCTTTGCACATTTTTTAACTGGGTTATTCGTTTGTTTGTTATTGAGTTGTAGGAGTTCCTTTTATCCCCCTATCAGTAGAGAGTTTGCAAATATTTTTACCTTTTTCATAGATTGCCTTTTCATTTTACTAATGGTTTCCTTTGTTGTGCAGAAGCTTTTTAGTTTGATGTAGTCCCACTTGTCTATTTTTGCTTTTGTTGCCTGTGCTTTTACTGTCATATCCAAGAATTCATTGCCAAACTAATGTCCAGAAGCTTTCTCCCTGTGTTTTCTTCTAGGAATAACCTCTTTTCAAAACAATTAAATTCAAAGCTCTCCATAATCTGGCTTATTCCTGTTTATTCAACCTTATTTCCAGCATGAACCCCACAATCCAACCAGGCAAATCTTCTCACAGTTCCCCCGTTTTCTTCCTGTCTCTAGACCTTGGCCCATTCCACTACGTAAACCTGGAAGGCACTCATCTGGCTGGATCCTGCCCATTCTCTCAAAGGCACAGCTTACAACTATCCTCCTCCAAACTTCACCAAGTGCCATCATTTACACGGATTTATCCCTTCTCTACTTCCGTAGCAATGGTCTATGCTATATGTCTGGCCTCAGTAAACATTTATAGAGGCTACATAGTATGTATCAAAATCTGTGCACGGAATTAAGAATTCAAGGATGAATTATTAGATAGTTCCTGCCTTTGGAGAGCTGTGAGTCTTGACATACAAGTACTTTCTGGAATATTTATAACATGCTAGAGGAACAGGGTCTACTTCTGGCTTGAGGGTGAATGGTTCAGGAAAAGCTTCCGAAAAGCAGGTGACATTTGAGCCAAAGATCAGAGTAGGAGGAGCTTCAGAGCAGCGTGGGGCGGAGGAAGAGAGGCAGGCCTTCCAGGCCCAGGAGACAGTGCGCAAAGGCACTCAAGCTGGTTGCCTTTCGTGAGGAGACCAGGCACCAAGTGCACAGGGGAAAGAGGTAGGATTTTCTCTGCGAACTCTGTCATATATTGCAAATTATGAAAATTTAAACTATTAAATTTTTCTCTAGTGTATGAAATCTTTAGCAAACAGTAAAAATTTTGTTTTGGGAGTGTAGGGTAGAGCAGAGAAGAAGCTAAAGTGGTCATCTGAGGCCAGGTTGTAAGGAGCTTAGTGTGTTAGACACGGAAGCTCGGAGTTCGTTCCAGAAACAGAGAGAAGATAGTGAAGTCATGAGCTGCATGGTGAAGTGACCGGCTCTGGCCAGTCTTAACTGAGGAAAAGTAGGGGGTCCGCAAGCAAGAAGCCAGCCTGGAGGTGTCTGCAGAGAGATGGAGAAGAGGGCCAGATCCAAGGCTAGTCCAAAGGCAGAGTGATTGATAGCTTTAGCAATTGTACAATTTCCCCCTTGTCTTCCTCTGTTACTCAGATTCCTTTTAAAGTAATTACAAGAATTATCAAAAGCTTCAAAATAGACACTATCTGCTACACTGGACAAAGAAATAATAAGCAAGCAAGAAATAAGACAGCATAGATAGTCCACACAGGCCCAAGTCTGGAAATATAGGCCTAAGAACTTGTCTAAATGCTTTAGAAAACTAAAGGGTCCCATCCAGGACCTCACTCACCCCTGCATCCTTCAGGAAACTCCAGCGGCTGTTTCAGTTGCTTTGTGTCTCGTGTCTTAGACAGTGGGGAACAGCCCTAGGGCACTGTCCACAGTCCACAGAATTTGTACCCTAGCAAACATTATGCTCCTGAACCTCCAAAAAATTTCACTTTTGCCTCAAAAAGAAGTAAGATTCAGTTAAAATAGCTCACCTTCTGGAATTAACTAATTTGAAAAGATGCTATTTTAAACATTTAGGTTTTAAACAATTTTCTTCAAAATATGATAGAAATATCCTATTAGAAAGGTGGCACACTGACTTAAGCGTTATTAAGCAGCCGCTCTGGCAGCTTTCCCATGATGTAATTTTTAGTGTCACATTCAAGGGATGGCTTTGATATCCTGAGGCTCCTTCCCCTTTTTATTTAACATGTCTGCTGTTTTCATGTCCTGGGCCCTGCCACTAATAGTGTGACTTTCCCTGTAAGCAAACTATAATGAGGATTTATCATAAAATTAATAGTTTACCTCTGATTGTTTTGCAACAAATTCCAGATGTGCCTCCAACGGGAAAATACACAACTCTCTTGCCTTTGATGATTATTCTTATAATTTCAGGCATCAAAGAGATTGTAGAAGATTATGTAAATTTACTGTTAGTGAAATGCTCTCAAAACTACTGCCTTGAATAGAAGAGGTATATTTGTTGCCTTTGTAATAAGCACCTACCATTCGTAAAGTTGTAGATTTTTGTCCGTGAAACATGCCTTCAAGAACTGTCGTGTTATCCCGTTTTGAAGATGAGGAAGTCGAGGATCAAAGAGAAGTATCTTGCTCAAGGTCACAGCCAGGAAGCGGTGAAAATAGGATCTGAACTTAAGTCTGGTTGGAAGTCTATATGCTTTCTAATGCGCCTCCGTGTCACCTCTGTGTCATTGTGTGGAATATTTGAAGATCATGCTTCACAATCTGTTGCCCAGGGTACAAGACAGCCTTTATATGAAGAATATCTCAGTGAATGTTGTCGTGAATATTTGCCCTTGGGATGTAAGTTAAAAGCATGCTGGGGTAGATACTGACTTTGTCATCATCAATAATTAGTTGATGCCCAGTGTAAAATTCTTTTGAAAGCTTATTATAAGACTGTTTTGATTTCTAAGTACCGTCAATATTTCTTTCCTGAAACAGATAGCTCAGGTGAGTCAGTAGTGATTTTGCTCCTCTCGTTGGGACCAAGAGAAAAAAGCCACCAAGAGCTAGCCCTCCATTTCTGATGGCAGAGTCTCGGGGGCGAGGGACAAGTGAATGACAGGAGGAGAGGAGGTGAGGCTGCAGTGGTGGGCTTCTACTGAGCAGAGGGGATTGCATGATTGCGTTCTAATTGACCCCAGTACCATCCACTGAAGAACAAGTTAAGCAGTCAGAGCCAGGGACCTGGAATTCGTGTCCGACTGAGTCCTTTCTGTGCATCTACAACCAAATGGAGCACTTTAAACATCGGGTGCTTATACAAGGACAAGGGAAAGACATGATGGTGAAGACCGTCTGCCGTCAGGTCCATGGGTCATAATTTTCTCCATCCGTATTATTTCTGGGGAAAAACCTAGTTTTAATCTCACAGTTTCAAGTTGTCTTATTCTAGCCACCTTTAGACCTTGCTGTAAGTTAGTTACTTATGTAAGTTATAAACGCTTTGCTGTTCATTGCGTTGTGAAGTTTATGTAAGTTGTGAATGTCTTATTGTCAATCTTTTTTCTCCCCTGCTGTTGTGCTTGTCGTCTGCATTTATAGACACATTGTAGCTTTCAATGTTCTCTCCTCACTTTGATCCAAAAGTATTTAATTAATTTGTGGCTTAATTAATGAAGATAGAAGTGATCTGTGTAATCATATTAAAAAAAGAAAAATATAGTCTCCTTGTTCTCTTCCTCCTCAGTAAGATATTATTATCTTTTCAATATAGGTCCAGAAATTGGTTTAGGAATGAATTTTGACCCCCTGCTTTCCTAGCTGCCGAGGAAGGGCCTGACATTTTAAGAGTTGTGTCCTCGGTACTTAGCACAGTGTAAACGTTCAAATGGTCTGTTAAAGAAATAACAATACAGGAAGAAAGCGTCAAGAGCTTATACTGCTTTCCCCATGTATTGTTCCTAGTATTTACATCTCTCTCTTGCTCTTATTTACAAGTTAGAATTCATTCATACATTCAGTCAACAAACGTTTATTGGGTGCTTGCTACAGGCAGCCACTATACTGAGCACTGGGAATTCACCTGAAAGTGAGGCAGGCATTTTCCCTGTTCTACATGAAGCGCACCGGCCAGCCGAGGAAAATGGGCCATTGGGCAAGCAAGGTCAGTGTGAGAGTGTGTGAACAACACGTCACTGCAAATGTAGTCATACTAATAAGTCTGTGTGGATTTCTCAACCTTGGCACTCTTGACATTCGGGGCCAGAAAATTCTTTGTTGGAGGGGGCTGTGCATTTTGGCCTCCACCCACTTGATACCAAGAGCATCATCCCCTAAAACTCCCAAAGTTGTGACAACCAAAAATGTCTCCAGAAGTCATCAAATGTCCCCTAGTGGGGGGGCTGGCCCCGTGGCCGAGTGGTTAAGTTCGCGCGCTCCGCTGCAGGCGGCCCAGTGTTTCGTTGGTTCGAATCCTGGGCGCGGACATGGCACTGCTCATCAGACCACGCTGAGGCAGCGTCCCACATGCCACAACTAGAAGAACCCACAACGAAGAATACACAACTATGTACCGGGGGGCTTTGGGGAGAAAAAGGAAAAAATAAAAAATCTTTAAAAAAAAAAAAAAAATGTCCCCTAGTGGGTGAGGAAGGCACAATAACCTCTGGTAAAGAACAGCTGTTTCAGAGAAATGAATTGATCAGGAAATAGAATTGTTCTCATGGAGCTGAAATTTATTAGGGTCGCTCCAGGATTTTCATGTCGTACTTTTTCTTGAGACTACTTGACACATTTTGCGTCTATTTGTGCTTTTAAAATTCATGCTTCTATGTTCTCTCTCCTGGTTTAAAAGGTACACGTGGGTGACATTGTGCAGGCCTCAAATGAGCAGTTCCCTCCTGCAGACATGGTCCTGATTTCTTCCAGGTTAGTAATGTTAGTGAACATGTAAGGAACTTTCATTCTGAATTAGACACTTTAGGAAAACCAAAGGCAGAAGCCACCTTTCCTTGTCTTACTCCTTTCACCATCCCTTTCTCTGTATTGTAGACCAGTGGGCGCAAATTTTTCTGTAAAGGGACAGATAGTACTTGCAGCTTTGTGGACCATGCCGTCTCTGTTGTAGCTATTCAACTCTGCCTTTGTAACGTTGGAAGCAGCCATAGGCAATATGTAAACAAACGGATAAGGCTATGTTCCCATGAAACTTTATAAATATAGGTAGGGCCCAGATTCAGCCTGCGGTTTGCCAACCCCTGTTCTATACAGGCATACCTCGGGGATATGGTGGGTTCAGTTCCACGCCACCGCAATAAAGCGAATATTGCAATAAAGTGAGTCACAGGAATGTTTGTTTTCCCAGTACATACAAGCTTATGTTTATGCTATACTGTAGTCTACAAAGTGTACAATAGCATTGTGTCTAGAAAAAAGATATGTATACCTTAATTAAAAAATACTTTATCACTAAAAACCGCTAACCATCCTCTGAGCCTTCTGTAAGTCATAATCTTTTTCCTGGTGGAGGGTCTTGTGAAAAACACAATACTTATGAAGCGTAATAAAGCATCGTGCAATAAAACAAGGTATGCCTGTACTTTTTAAAAAAATTTTGTATTTGAGTTCATCTAGTTTGCATCATTGTGAAATTTCACTTGTACATTATTTCTTGTCTGTCGCCAAATAGGTGCTCCCCTTCACCCCCTGTGCCCACCCCCCACCCCCTTCCCCTGGTAACTACTGAAGCGTTTTCTTTGTCCCAGTACTTGTTCATATTCCACATATGAGTGAAATCATCTGGTGTTTGTCTTTCTCAGTCTGGCTTGTTTCGCTTAGCATAATTCCCTCCAGGTCCTTCCATGTTGTTGCAAATGGGATTAATGTGTCTGTTTTTCTGGCTGAGTAGTATTCCATTGAATATATATATACCACATCTTCTTTATCCAATCATTGGTCGATGGGCACTGGGATTGTTTCCATGTCTTGGCTATTGTGAATAGTGCTGCAATGAACATAGGGGTGCATATGTTACTTTGGACTGTTGATTTCAAGTTGTTTGGGAAGATACCCAGTAGTGGGATAGCTGGGTCGTATGGTAGTTCTATTTTTAGTTTTTTGAGGAATCTCCATACTGTTTTGCATAGTGGCTGCACCAGTTTGCATTCCCACCAGCAGTGTCTGAGGGTTCCCTTCTCTCCACACCCTCTCCAACATTTGTTATTTGTAGTCTTAGTGATTACAGCCATTTTAACAGGTATAAGGTGGTATCCTGTGTAGTTTTCATTTGCATTTCCCTGATGATTAGTGATGTTGAACATTTTTTCATGTGTTTATTGGCCATGTGGATATCTTCCTTGGAAAAATGTCTGTTTGTATCCTCTGCCCATTTTTTGATTGTGCTGTTTGTTTTTCTGTTGTTCATTTGTGTGAGTTCCTTATATATTATGGAGAGTAACCCCTGTCAGATATATGATTTGCAAAAACTTTCTCCCACCTGGTGGGTTGTCTTTTGCTTTTGATCCTGGTTTCTTTTGCCTTGCAGAAACTCTTTAGTCTGATAAAGTCCCACTTGTTTATTTTTTCTTTTGTTTCCCTTGTCTGAGAAGACATGGTATTCTAAAAGATCCTTTTAAGTTCAATGTCAAAGAGTGTACTACCTATATTATCTTCCAGAAGTTTTATGGTTTCAGGACTTTTCTTCAAGTCTTTGATCCACTTTGAGTGTATTTTTGTGTACGGCATGAGATAATGGTCTACTTTCATTCTTTTGCATGTGGCTGTCCGGATTTCCAAACACCATTTATTGAAGAGACTATCTTTTCTCCGTTGTATATTCTTGACACCTTTGTTGAAGATTAGCTGTCTGTATATGTGCAGTTTTATTTCTGGGCTTTCAGTCCTATTCCATTGATCTGTGTGCCTATTTTTGTAGCAGTACCATGCTGTTTTGATCACTATGTATGCTTGTGCTTGCATTATCTTTTCTTTAATATTCCTGGAAATATTTTCTTTTATCCTAATTCTTAGATTAATTCCATCCCTCTCTATAATTTCTACAGACATTCAACTGATCTAAAAAATTTTACACTTATTTTCTCATTTGATTCTCATAGCAATTGTGACGTATTCCCATTATATAAGCAAACTGACTCACACAGAGATCAAGTGATTTTTTTTCATGATTGTTAAGTGGGCTTGTATTAGGCCCAAGTTTTAAAACATAGCCTCTCTTCTTTTTACAGAACTATACTGCTTAATTCACCAGCTGTTTGGAGGAGACTTACACAGAGACTCCCTACAGGAAATATTTCCTTCCCATTAGGTCGTATTTGACCACCTCCCATGGGCTTCTATGTTGGACCCTCTGGGGAGCACAGCTGTCCACTCCCTCATGTTCTCTGTAAGGAACATGTGGTAGTCTGGGGTGTCTGTGGGTGAGAGTGGCTGTAGACACTAACACAACTACATTCGATATGTTTGGCCATCTGGTTCCCCAGATCAGGTCATGTCATCTCAAAGGGATAAAAAAAAAATGTTCCTAGCTTTCTAGACACATGCTACCTTGGAGCATGGAGAGATTTCTTGGGAAGAAAGACAGACTTGTTCTGGAGCCATTCTCCAATCTTCCGGAAAAGCAATAATACCAACATTAGCTCCTCTTTTTACCAGATGCACTTTGTTCTTTTGCCATCAATGCTTTAACCCAAATGACAAAGGAACTTATTGTTGCTGATGTGTTTCTCTCTTGGGCTTGGCTAGGAGTATGGGGTGGACACAGGACCCAGGGATGTACCATGAAAGGTTTTGTTTTTATAACCTCTACATCATTTATACATGTAACATTTTTTTATCTCTTCATTTCTCCCAATGAAGTACGACTTGTATGGAAAACAGTCTTTTATTTGGCATGAGAAGGAATGAGGGGAGACAAAAATCATCATTCTTGGATTTTTTCTCTAGCAGTTTCACAGATTATATTTTCTAAGTGATTCTCCCTGTGCCCACTAAAACAACTAAGATACACACACACATGCACACACTCACACACACTTATTGGAATGCTTATTTGATCTGGCATAAAAGTAAGAAAACCAGATTGAACTCCAGAATGAACTGAGGTGCTAGGAACCCCAGAAGGTAATCCTGTGCCAACAATGGCTTTCTCCTGGAGGGTTTCTGCCAAACCATGAAGACCTTGAGCTTCCATTTTGTTGAGTGTAGGTAGTACAAGTGACAAAGGATAAAACCCAGGGGACACTCCCATGAGGAGAATTTGATAGGTAATCCTTGCATAAAGCTGAGAAATACACCCTTAGTTAAGGGAGAGTGAAAAAAACCCGCCATTCTGTAGGGGGCACTAGGGGAATGTGTCTGACTTGACCCTAGTGCAGGGTGCAGGGGAAACTTCCCTGTGAGAATTCAAGCTGACCTCATGCAGACAATCTCTGAATTCACCTTGCCTGTGTGATGCAAAATTTTAAGCAGAAAATTTAATGGGATCATAGAGAATAAAGAGGAAACAACTAACTAATTAGAAGGAGATAAGGCAGAGAAGAACAGGAAGCAGTAGTCCAAAAGATGATGACTGACAATTTTTCAGAATTGTTGAAAGTACATCCTTTGGATTCTTTGAGTTTCCTGGTTCTGAGTCAAGAACTAAGATAACAGGAAATAGCAACATAGAAGTTGTGAGGGTGATAATAAGAACTGGGCTGAAGGTATTTGTATTGTTTAGAATGAGGGTGAAAATATTGATTGGCTATAAACCTTAAATTCAGGATATTTGTCTAAAAAAGTTACTTTAGTATTTAAAAGATTAGACATAGTGTATATATATCATTTCCAGCCATATCAAGGTGAAAAATTATTTGAGAAGAAGAAAGAAACCTCAAAAGTACCCAAAAGAATGGAAAAAAAGAGAAATAAAAAGAGACAAAATAAGAGAGAAATAGAAATGCACATAATCTGATAGTAGAATAAATAAAAAATATCAGTATTCACAATTAATGCAAATGGACTTAAGTTAAAAAGAGAAGAGTGTAAAGTTGTCTGGCTATATGTCGTTTACAAGAAATTCACCTGAAACACGGAGTCACAAACATTGAGATCAAAGGATGAAAAAATATACACAGAAAATACTAAAGAAAGGAAATCCAGAAGAGATGGTGCCACTATCAGATAAAATAGACTTTGAGACAAAAAACATTTCTTGAGATAAAGAGTCATTGAATAAAGAGAAAAGAGACATTGCATAATGATAAAAGTTTTAATTCATGAAGAAATAACATAGCGTAAACATAAAGAAAAAACTTACACAACTACAAGGAGAAATTTACAAATCCAACATTATACTGGGATGTTTTAACATTTGCTCTCAGAAATTGATAGATCAAAAGGAGCAAAAAATTGGTGTGGATATAGAATACTTGAACAGCACAACTGACAACCTTGAAATAATGGCATGTATAGAACTTTGGTGCAATACACCAAAAAGTGATGTACACATAATTTTCAAGCACAAATAGAAATATTTATGAAAATTGTTAAGACATAGGACAGAATCAACAAATTTCAAGGGACTGGTATTCTACAGGCCACATTCTCTGACTGCAAGCTATTAAGTTTGAAATCAACAGTAAAAAAGATAGCTAAGAACCCTATATGTTGGGGAAAAAAACATACTTCTAAACAATTCATGGATCAAGGAGGCAATCATAATGGAAATTGGAAAATACGTAGATTTTCATAGTTGTGAATGAGGCGTTGATCTTGCTTCTGAAAGGTGTCCACAGAAGTTTTATTATTTAAAAAATCAGGACATCAACATCATGGTGGAGTGAGCTTTCCCAGTAATCTCTCACCTCAATGATACAACGAAAAAGACATTCATACTCCAACACAGAACATCAAAATGCAACACAAAAGAT